ATCAGCTGGTGTCACTTCCCCTGACTCAGCATCTGTTGAAAAGTGCTTAGTCATTATGGCTGCCTGTGACCTTTTCATGCCTGGTCACTTCTGTATTAAACTACATTGAACATTTTCCCTGGGACACTGTCTCAACAGAAGAGTCCCAGCTTCTGCCGACCTAGCAGTTCAGAAGCATGCAAATACAAGTAGATAAATAGGTACCACTTCGGTGGGAAGGTAAACAGCATTCGGTGCAATCATGCTGGCCACATGATCACAGATCAACACTGACTCTTCACCTTAGTAACAGAGATGAGCACCACCCCTTGCAGTCAGAAATGACTTGACAACCTTGTCAACGGGGAACACCTTTACCTTTTTATAGTATATATAAACTCAAGGATGCCTAAGGGAAGCCAAGCATCATGCTATGATACAGCACAACTTGGGATACTGTATACAGTTCTGGTTGCCATGTCCCCCATAATACTGGAAAAATAAATTGTGAAACTGGAAGAAGCAAAAAGCATTTGGAAATGTTAACTTTTTTACAATTCTCAAAATCCACAGTCAGCATAACCATTGTAGTCCCAAAAGTAATGATTTCCAGGCGCTGATTGAGGTTTATATAATTATGTATAATGTGAGAAAAGTGGGTCAAGATAATCTCCTCACTTTCATAATACTCTCTTAATAATTGTAAGTTGCTACAGTGAGGTGATGGTATTCAACTGTCTATAACTCCTTTCTTTTCAGATACTAGATCTTTAGTTTGTTCTGCTTTATTTGCTGTGCTTTCAGTTATACTCTTGCTCCGTGCAGTGAAGTCCTGTTGATTTTAGTGCTACTTGAGTTTAAACACAGTTCTTGAGAAATTAGCTATATTGTGTTTAAGACTGGGGTGGTAAGCATACGTATATATATCATAGAGCAGCAGCCAACATGTTATGTAGTCAATATTACTGGCAGCTCTTCATTGAAGCAGGAGAGCTATCTTGTCACAAAGTGATAAAATAAGGCACCCTTCTGGCCATCATACGGGCATCCCATGATCAGTATTATTTTTTAGTGAAAGTTACAAACAACTTACAGATACAGGGAATGTAGTGTATGTAATGTGATAATCATTCTATGTGATTTTGTGTGAAAACTGAGCTACTTTGTTGCTAAGAGTGGTGTATACATTGTAAACTTTCATTTTTGTTTGTTGTATGCCTTCAAGTCATTTCCAATTTATGGCAACCCTAAGGCAAATCTGTCATGGGGCTTTCTTGGCAAAATTTCTTCAGAGGAGATTTGCCATTACTTTCCCCTGAGGATGAGAGCATGTGACTTGCCCAAGGTCATCCAATGGGTTTCATGGCCACACTGGAAATTGAACCCTGGTCTTTAGAGTTGTAGTCCAACAATCAAACCGCTACGCTACGCTGGCTCGCTTCATTTTTACTAAATCCAAAGATCTTCCCAACACAACATGGTGCAAAAGATACAGTCACAGAGCTTAGATTGTTATGATTGAAAATTAATTCAGCAATGTTAAATGTTAGAAATTGAGGAAATAATTCATTACCACAAACACTAATAATAGAAATTGTTTACATAGTTTAGTTATTGTTAATTAACTATTATATTAAACATTTGTCTCCTGACAGACTGTAGGATTTACAGAGAATGGCATGGAGATTATCACTGATGCCTGTAGAGGCACATTTTGTTATTGAAGTGCTCTTTTTGACCTTTTAAGGTTGCCTCCTTCCAACCTGATTTTTTTTTTCTCAGATGGACTGCAAAATCCATAACACAGTTGTTGCCTAGAGATGGTAGGAATTCAGAACGTCTGGTAACTGTCAGGCTTGGCAACGCTTGTCCTAATGTGTGGGATGTCATTTTAACAGTCTGTTTGAAATTCATGCATCTTTCCTCTTCTTTCTGTTCCTTCTCATCCTCACCAACATGCACACTGTTCACTTGCTCTTCAAATACCTTGTTTAGTGTAGGTTAATAATCAGTGGTGTTAAATGTTAATAAGGAATAGTATGTTAAAGTCAGCTGGAGAGAACTGATAATGAGCCAACATGGTGTAGTCATTTGAGCATTGGACTATGACTCTGAAGACCAGGATTCGAATCCTGGCTCAGCCATGTAAACCCACTAGGTGGCCTTGGACAAATCATATACTCTCAGCCTCAGAGGAAGCAATGGCAAATCCCTTCTGAAGAAACTTGCCAAGAAAACTCCATGATAATTTTGTTCGCTTTAGAGTTGCCATAAGTTGGAAACAACTTGAAGACACACAACAACAGAGGGCACTGATGCACTGCAAATGTAGCAATAACTGGCTGGCTGCAAAAATCATTCCGTGAATCAAGAGTGGAGAAGTCTAGATCACAAATATTTTGAGTGCCTCTGAGCATATGCAGATTTTTGCTGCACAACTGAATCATTGTATGCTGTCTGTGTCCCCACACCCATTCAAGAAATACGATCTGCAGTGATAGGAAGTAATACAGCCATGTTTTTATCACTTAACTCAGTGGGATGGGCAGGTGTGAATTTAGCTAGCTACATCTTTTGGTTCCAAGCTCCAGTCTTACCAAACCCCTAAAGTGTGTGACCAATAGAAGAACAGGGATGGGTGACAAGCAGAAATGAAGGAAATAAGAGGGAGGGGAGTGGAGGAGGGAGAAAGAGAGAAGTGGGATTTTCCAAATAATAAACTAGTGCCCAGCACTGTGTGACTATTATTAAACACACTAAAGGATTACAAACAGGTTCAGTGTTGTTTTGTCTGGGCAGGTACATAGGTAGTATGTATGGGTTTAGCTAAATGAATCTTTCAGTTCCAAAATAACAGCTTCAAATCTCCAAAGCATCTGATGTACTGAAACATGAGTAGGTGTAAAGCAGAATAGGGAAGGAAGACAGGGAGGAGGAGAAAAGCCAAGAGAGGAAATGGAGGTGAGATTGAGAGAAATGTTTAACTTAATTGAGCTACAATAAACACACTAGCAGATGGCAAAGGTCTCATTGCAGCTCACTCCAAATAACAATGTAGAGTGTTGTATATTATACAATAATGTACAATTGAAACCAGAATAAAATCAACAGAAAAGAAATTAAGATAGTGTTCTCCCCACCCCAAGAAACTTATACAGACAACAAGAACACACACTGGTGATGGAAGACACAAACCATTCAGACAAGGGCTTGATATATAAAGCAGCAAATTTATCCTCTATCTATTTCATTCTATACTAGGACACATTTTTATTTCCTTTCCATTATTCTTCAGTTCTTCCAGTCCCAGCTCTTCAATTGCAACTATTCTTTTGCTGGCTTCTGCTCCCTTGGTCTTCTGTCTTATTGTCATATATTTCCTTTAGTTCTAATAGTTCTTGTCCTTAGGTCTTCTTGTTTTGCTGAATCTGCCAGAGGAAAAACCACCCACTCTAAAAATTCTAACATACTAACATTAAAAATTGTTGGAGCATGGTATTAACATCAGTATTAATCAGGAACTCTTGCACGTTATGCCATGCCAGTAGAAAAACCTTAGCAATTAACTAGTTATTTCCAAGTGATGGAATGAAAGAATCCTGGATCCAGGAGTTGGTTGCATCTACCACAACTAATTGTAATTTTGATTCCTTTTGCTCAAAATTCTACTTTATTCCATTTCAGCAGTTTAATTTAAGGTGAGAGGGTTATCATTTTCTTGCTCCTGCTGTTACATATTAAGATTCAAGTATTATTGACAGTCAACAACCCACCCCCAAAGATTTGCCAGTACTTCCAGACCTGCCTGATTTCTATTTGACACTGTTGTATAGTCTCTGATCAGTCCACATGAAGATAAGAAATGGAGGTAAAAAAGGCAGGGCCCTGGGAAAACTCAAAGGAAAATAAAAGTGTTAATAAGAACTCAGGCTAACTAATTGAGCAGAGTTTGACAAAGTAGTGTGGTTTTCCCTTGTTAGATCTCTTACAGATTAGAAAGTGATAGCACTTTGATCTCACTTTAACTGTCATGGCCTCTCCTAAAAATCTTGGGGTTTGTAGTTTGGGAGATGCTAGAGCTCTGTGGCAGCTAATTCTAGATTAGAAACTACAAATCCCAGGATTCCATATGATGGAGCAATAGCAGTTCAAGCAGGATGAAGGTACCATCATTGTATAATGTAAAAAAGACCTTCATGTCCATATACAGTTGGCATTTTAGGTGAATATTTGGAGTAATAACATAGCTCTTGCATTTACATAGCTGAGGGAACTATGGTTTTTGTTTAGAAGGAACTGAAGCCAGAGGATGCCTCTCAATTTGTTTTTGCAGTAGGTACAGAAGTGAAGAGTGAATTACATGGAAAAACAAATTGGATAAAGCAGTGACACAAGGTGATGGTATTCAGTAATGATACAGTTGGCCCTCGGTATCC